ATCTTGATGCTCGCGAAATGCGCGAACTGATCTGATGGACTTGGATCGTACTTGCGTATTGCGAACGCGAACTGCGCCGATATTAACTATGTAAGTAAACGTACCGTAAAATTGCAGCCGTCGCTTTCATCCTCGTTTCTTCTCGTTTCTCTTTCTCTCTCTACTTTTCCGTTTCTCTCTCTCTCTCTCTCTCTCTCTCTCTCTCTCTCTTTTGGAACAGAAGGAGGTGAATATCGCACGCGAATAGACACGCGAAATGAATAACGGAACAAGAACTGCGTTAGCCTCATCGTAGTTTCTTGCCGTGCATCGGACGGATCGGACGTCTTATGCGAGCGGAATTCATTAGAGCCGTTCCTGACATTATCTCGCATGCTTGCGGTACTTAATTGTATGCAATTATAATCTTGGTTCGTTACGCAATCGTAGACGCAATTGCTTCCTGTCGCTGCGCTCGGTCCGCTCGCACCGCTGAATGATTCGTTGATAATTTTAGTTCCCGGGCGTGGTGGTAGCGCGTTTTAATTGATACCATCGGCGCTTCTTCCACGTGGAACTTTAGAACGATGGAAAAATTCGTACGAAGGGAGGACATCTTCGAGGAAACGACGTTGTTCAGCGAACGCACAGGTATCCTCTTCTCTCGATAATAAACTCGACGCGACAGCTTTGCGCAATTTTTACGATACTTTCGCGAGAAGAAAAGAATCGCCCTTCCCCGCCTCGCCCCCCTCCCCCTGTATGTGACGTTTAAACCAAACATGTAACCTTTGTAGCGTCGGATGAGGCAGGGGGGCGATTGTGATTGTAGAGATTGAACATTTCGGAATATCAGACGCAAAAACGCGGTTCGGGCGAGCGGATGGAAAACGGATCGGTGTCGCTTGTATTTTGTCGGACCACGCGACAACGATACGAGTCGTCTCCGCTCGACGACATCGCGGCGTGCATAATCGCGCGATTGCAGCCATTCGCATGCGGCTCTACGGCCAAGGCTGTTTCGGCCGTAACGCGGCTCTCTCTCTCTCTCTCTCTCTCTCTCTCTAAAGACGATTCGTTTACGCACGCACGTATGCACGTATACTCGGTGCGCGAGTGTGTTGCGAAAGAAGCAGAGACGAAATGGGTGTCCATCAACGGCCGGTGATGTTTAACGAGGTGTAGCGCCTCGCGCCTTTTTTCTCGCCGTTTAACGAGCGGCGGGCCTACGCGGCAATTGCGTTTCGCGAATTGCGGCCGCGCCGTGGCATAATTCACGAAATCGACGTGGACTACTTTAAACGGGATCCCCGCGAAATAAAATGCCGACGCCCAGGCCGTGGTCTCTTTATCGTCGGCTAACATCGACGCACCAGATAACCATTATCGGCGGTATGCACCGCCAAATTTCCGCTCTCTCGATTCGCGCGATTCACCGCGGGATTATACGGGAACGTAACTCTCTCTCTCTCTCTCTCTCTCTCCTCTCTCTCTCTCTCTCTCTCTCTCTCTCTCTCTCTCTCTCTCTCTTTCTCTCCCTCTACATGGAGGCATGGCGGCCTCTCGAAGCACGTGCGTGCTCTATCCGGAAAACGTGAAAAATTTATGTAACGCAGCGTATAAAATATCACGTCGATTGATAACGCGAATCTAAAAATTCGCCGATCGCGCGATGCGTGACACCACGGTCTATCCGTTATATGTATTATTTATATTTTTTCATTTTTTTAAAGTAGACGAAATCACGCTGTAATAATTTTATATTTTGACACTTTGACGGTCGAGCTTCTCGTGGAAATACGCTATTTTCGCTGGATCGCGCGCTGGATTGTTCACTCGCGGGTGAACGTACTTTTGGCATATAAAATTGTAAATCTACTTTTGTACGATCTCTGTAATGCCGCGATAAATTGCCATCAACGACAAATCTTTTTCTGCAAGGCGATAACCGGCGGAATAAAGTAAGGCGCGTAAGTAGCGTCGCTGTCGAAGCGTTAAATAATAATAAAAGTTTCACGGCGCGTGTACTATTTCACAGGGGTCAAAAGTCGCGCGATTATTCTTGCGCGATGATCGTCTTCGTCCTTCATTTAATCTCGATATTTCCCGCGTTACGCGGGAAAATGTCACGATAAAAGTACGCGCCGCGCGCGTGGAGTTAAATGTCAAATCTCGGGCTTTGGTGCGTGCGTCATCTCCTGACGCTCGTATTGCAGGAGGCGATTCACTTTGATCGCGCGTCGCATATATTATGTATAGTCCCTTCAGCGGTCGTCCGTGTCTCCCTTTCCGCGCGCGCGCGTCAGTTTCATTGACCGCGCTGACGAGATCAACGGCGTTGTCTCTGTCATCCATTCACCCCCGCTTCGCATCTCTTTCGCACTCCGCCGCCGTTCATTCTCATCGTCGTGTGTCGAAATTGCCTCTTTCTCGACGTGTACGCATTCTCTTCGTCACTACAAGATGTCGCGTTAACGACAGATTTCTTACGGGACGTCGGCAGCATTCGACTTCCAACGCCTCGTGGATACGCAAGTACTGCGAGCGCAAAGCGTGTTCTCTCTATCTCTTTCCCTCCTGTGCATCAGAATTGTCGTCTCGCTGCATGCCGCAGCAGGATGTCCTGCGCGTTTCCTTCCTCGTCAATTTTTATTTTCTTAGTCATTATTTTATCTGTATTCTATATTACAGAAGATAGATTTTTATTTCACCAATATCTTTTCATTGGCAAAAATTCATCAGACCTCTTCGCCTTCTTCACGCTAATTCTGGTCTAATATCCTTGTCCTTATATCTTGACAAATTTGACAATAAATTGGAATGTAACAGTCTCATGTTGCTAAAAAGTCCTTGTCGAATTATTCAACTAAAATCACTTGATTTTTAAGTTGGTTTTAAGTCGGTTCAAGCGTGTCGTGAAGCGCATCTTTAAGTTTTGACCTCTCGTCGTGGTAAGCGTGGCAAGCGACTAGCAGGGTACCCTGTATACACTCGCTGGCACATACGAGCTATTATACAATTATCGTGTTTCTCGCTCGCAGCCATGGCGCATGGCTTTTGTCGGTTCGCTCGCGTCAAAGCGCGTTCGTCGGACCAAGAGGTAACTCGATTCATCTCCCGTTGGCGGCAACAGTCGGCGTCGAAACGTTGTTCTATAGGCCAACAGAGCTGGCTTATTATTGTTTACGTAATGTTTACGTAACGGCACACACACGCGGCTGTGTCGCTGCAGTGGCAGTAGCAACGACTGCACTCGCGATGCGCTCGCGCATCGACGTGTATCCCGAGACTTTGCGTCTTGCGGAGAACTTACTTACAGTTACGCGCGACAATCGCAGCCCTTAATTACGAATGCGGAGACAATGTTTCCCCCTTGCTTTGCTTGACACGCTGACAATTAATCTAGGAGTCTGGCCAATTGTGACATTTGACGAAGGTATCTTTTTCTCATCGCTTCGCGCCGCCGTAAATTCAGAGGCGTATTGTTTTGAATCAAAATTCTTAGCGAGAAATTTTGGGGAGAGGGAGTGGAGCTTGGATATTTTCTCCGACGTGTTCCGACAGTGAGCAGAAAGAAAGAGAGAGAGAGAGAGAGAGAGAGAGAGACCCGGAAATCAGAGAGTCACACGATTAATTATAAATCACCGCGAGGAAGTTACCTGAATCGTAGATTCCAACGATCGCGCATTCATTCGACTCTTGTTCTTTCTCGCGAGAATGCACATTCTGGTCTTATCGCGCGTGAATCGGTGTAACACTTTGCGCAATCTTTAATTCACCAGGCGATACCAGTGCTAGTCGCAGATAATCGCGAGAAAAGAAAAAGGCCGCGTGCTTTCCACCGAATCGGACACGCGGGGATTTATCATTATGAATCACGCGTCTTTCGTCTCGCTTTATCGACGGCGGCCGAACAATGTTTGCCACTTAAATCCGTATCACGTCCCGATGAACGATCACTTATTGGACGCCGGCGGGGGCGAAATATTACGGCGAGCGGAATATGGAACGGACGCGTTGGAAAGGAAGCGGTGAATAAACGCCGCTCGGGGCGAGCGAACGAGTTCGATTTCGCGACGGCGATGATGACGACGACGACGACGACGACGACGACGACGGCGACGACGGCGACGGCGACGACGGCGGCGGCGGCGGCGGCCACGTCGACGCGTGAATCATTTTATCGAGGAGCCCGTGAATAACATTACGGTCGATATATCGCGGAGAGCTTTGCGCACCGAAGACAACGAGTCTTTAAGACTTGAAAGGGTGATTTAGCGAACGGCGTCGATCGCGCTCGCTCGTTCGCTCCTAGGAATTATTAACGATGGCGCACTTTCCGTACACCTTCCCTTCGCTCCTTTTGAATTTCTCCCTCCTGCGTGCTCCTCTCTCCTCCTTTCACTCTACCTGCCTGTCTACCATCCACCCTTTGCGAAACCATCATTTACATCGGTCGTAAGGACGTCCCGTCCTGAGGAAAAATTGCATTAACCACCGCGAGCTAGTAATGTCGTCCCGGTAATGTTGTGTGCACGCGAGAACGATGACGAGTTCACTTTATTATCGAGCGCCTCGTAAAAGCGCGTCATTTGCGTATCGATCGCGTATAACGTAGTTTCTTCTGTTTGCGGATCACTCGACCCGAGTGAATCAACGGGACGCGGAATGATAATAAATCATACCGATTAGCGAATCATACTCTTCTCTCTCTCTCTCTCTCTCTCTGTGTGTGTGTGTGTGTGTGTGTATGTGTGCCAATGATCGCTTTAATTTTTCAATGCGATTCCAGTGTGGTCTTGCGCGCGATATTAGATTGGTGATTTACGATAACTGCGACATTCGAAGTGGCTTTTGAACGAAATGCGACCGAGGTGTCGTGTATTTCTCGGCTGTTAAAGAGTTATAAAATTCGCATGGCGTGCTCTTTTATCTCTTTTTCTTTTTTTTTTTTTTTACAGCGCCGTTTGCGCGAGTTAATTTCATCTGAATGGCAGCACGCGTTTTCGCTCTGATTGCAGGCTGAGGACCTCTTGGACGACATCCTGTCGTTCGAGGCTGGCTCCTTGGGCGACGGTTTGAAGGACGGTCAGGCCGGCAGTCTAACGAATATACCGGAGCTTCAGATTAAGCCGGAGCCTCTTCTGCTCACCGAAGCGGAGATCCATGCCCTTGCTAAGGACCGACAGAAAAAGGATAACCACAACATGAGTAAGTAGACAGCTGCTCTTATCGATCGGTACCCTCGTCAGAGAGAGAGAGAGAGAGTTACCGAGTCATATTCTCGTACATTAATTATCAGAGAGCCGTGTCTTTCGGTAGTTTCAATGTTTTCACGATGATCCGTATCGTAACGTTCTGACGTTTCTTACAAATTGATTGAATTGACACGATTGATTCGTCCTAATCATTTGTCAGTATAATTCGCAAATTACAAAAGAACTCGCAAAATTGACTTTGCGACAATTTTCTGGACGGACAATATGTCCAAACGATGAATCTCTCTCTCGATGCGTTTCATCGTCATTTTGTCCGCTTCGCGAAACGTCACTGTAAACATTTGTATATGTCAAACCACGCCACGGTTCGCTTTGTCTTTCGCTAAAGAGAGGTTGTTCACGCTCGCGATAGGATTACAAAACGTGAGTTTGGCACGAAAATATCGGCGAATGTCGCGCGCTCGTGCACGTGGCTCCCAAACGGTAAGGTTAACGTTTTCATCATGATGGAGTCGCTTTAAATGTCGCCCGATAGGCGGACTGCAAACAAATGTTCGTGTTTATCCATGTAGCAATAATTGATAGGCGCCATCGCGTAATTTACACCTGAATGCTAGCAATCGGTGGTGTCTCGTTTGCTACCGTTACATCGTCATTGTTGTCAGCATTCACTACGTTACACTCTTATGTCAATACGGAGGTTGCGACGTAAGTGGAGTATTTAAATGACAATAGGAGAGTATTGCCCGCCGCGTTTGCTACACACCGTCGACATCGGCCGTCTATTATTATCGCAAATGTAGTCAATTAAACTAGCGTCAGTCTGTCATCTGTTGACACGAACAACGACGGCCGACCAAATATAACTTTGTGCAGTCACGTTTGACGGCATGAATTGTAACTTTACTGAAAAAATTTCCGCGAGTCGCTCTTCTCTCGTTATTAATGTCGATGATGCTCTTCCATAGGAGAGAAAAAAAATTTCATATTTTTGAGTGATTTTCCTTGTTTTCGTTTTTCGTTCGCAAACAATGCACACAATGCTCTCCGAGCACGTAGTTGTTTGAGATTTTTTCTCGTTATTTCGTATAATAACACTTTCGTCTTTCCTCGTTAGATAGATCGTCAGATCTATTTTCGTATCTAAAATTCTCGTGTGCGCGAAGATAAGCAACTTTTTAACGCACGAATGCAGGCGCATGTGTCGTTTGAAACTTTATACTTTTCTTCAAGGACTCGCGCGCGTGCGCGCGCGATGTACGCGTAGAGCGGTAACGCTGCAAATTTAATTTTCGCCGCCTCTTTGATGACGATGCAGCTGTTTTTCCCCTCTGTTATCGCATTCTCGTATACGCGGTACCATCGCATTCTCTAATTTATTATAATAAAATGCACGACGAGAGACATTATTTGTAAAAAGTAACGCAGACGCACACACAAGCTCGAGAGATTGAGAGCGCGCGCGCGCGGTTCGTTTTCCTACGAACGAAGTGCCAATCGATTTTACGGCGGACCCGTCGGCGGGCTTTTTGTTTCGCGGGCAAGGTGTTGAACGTCGAAAACCGATCGCGCGGTGCGCCAGCGCGAGGGATTCTCATTAAGGTGACGAAATAGATTAGCTGTGGCGCGCGTAACGAGCGAATCAACAATTTTCGAGCGGCGATATTTGGACAACGTCACCGCCGGGTTTTACCGACCGTGTTCTCGTTTTACGATGCGATACGCGTTACGCGTCGTTCGAATCGGTCGCGCGCTTTGTGCTCGCGACTCGCGACCGTGGTGACACGTAAATTTGATCGAGTAATCAGTGGGCATCAATTATCTCGCCTCGTTTTCCGCCGCGACGCGAAAAGCCCACGAGAGACCTCTCGCCTCGAGGTCTCTCGTGGGCTTTTCCGCGGACTTTGCGCGGAAATATATGTGTGCACTTTAGGTGTACACGCCGATTTTATCGGCACGCTTTAAACACGACGTGGCAAGATTCGTAATGAAAAAAAGAAGGAGCCTCGTTTCTCGGGAAATACGGGTGCGGGTGGGAGCTCTCGAAAGCCTGCCGATGGTAGGTGAACACTTCTCGCGGCAATCGATAAGGTTTGAAAATTGTTTCTTCCCGGAACGAAGCGATTCTGTCTGAATCTGTCTTTTCGAATTTTGTCGCACACCTGCGTTTGCGGGTAAGTAGATTCTCTCCGTGTCTCTCCGTGTATATATACACGAGAATAAAAATGCCGCCGCGCAACAACGGCGAGAAATAATATTATTAATACAATTTGCGTAACTTCATTTAAGCAAGGAAATTACGTTGTGGTCTTTAAGCGGTCTTGCTCGCCGCTTGCGCTGCGTGCGATTTCTCCGCAAGACGCCAATCCTCCGCGCGCGCCAATTCCAGCTCGCCGTTGTCTCTCTCGCGATTAAGGCGTCGCTGGAATTGCAAAAAATGTGCGCGACGCTCGCGAACGAAACAAGCGGAAATCGAGGGCGGGTTGCGAGTGCTCCCGGCCGCGCATTGGGAGGAACTGGAGCGTTCAACTTTCCGTAAACAATCGCGAGCGTAATGAAAGGCCGACCTGCCGGCCGGCTGGCTGCTCCACGCTGCACTGGCGAGGAGGTGGTACGGGGGGGAGGGGGGCGAAGGAAGCGGGATTGAATTTGTAAGAGAGAATGGCGAAGTAACGGCTGCGGAGAGTACACGGCAACATAGAAAATAAACGAGGAATTCCGTAAAAATAGTCGCGCGTCCCGCTGCTAATTCGCTCTCCCTCCCCCTTTGTCCCGCTACTTATTGACCGCTATTGTGCATCCCGCCGCGGCGCATTGTCGATCGCACGGTGTTCTACGTGCGCCACACGCGACGAACAAAAGAGGTGTTTATGCATCACCGAGGCAACCGCCGACTTATTCTTTTTCTTTCCTTCTTCGCTTTTCGTTTTTCTGCGCATACTATATGAGTATGCGCGAACGTGAGTTTATTTGCGAGCGCATCTCTCTCTCTCTCTCTCTCTCTCTCTCTCTCTCTCCCTCTCCCCCTAATTTGTCGGTTTTTATCAGTCACGGCGTTTTTTCCTCTCGAGTCGCTTCACGTTTTTAACAAGCGATTTTGCCTCGATTTTGGATAATTTAGGTTAAACTCGATATGGTCAATCTTTTTTCGCGATTTTCATTTTAAATTTTCATTTTAATTTGTTCGAAGGAAAACTTGCTTCTAAGAGTTCGTTGAAGCTTTTTAGAATTCTGGCGAGGAATTTTCCGATATTATTCGCATAAATCTGGTACGTACTAATCTGCTAGAAAATCGGGAATCCAGATGGATAAAGTTATTCGCGGGATAATTCGCGATAATCGCAGGTTATTGTTAGGAAAAGAATCATTTTCTCGCCGCAGGCCGAACGTCGCGCGTTAATTCGCCGGAGTTAAAGGACGATTTAGCATTCCCGCTCCCGTGCGGAGACGCGGCACCAAGACTGATGAGACGCTTCGCCGTAATCTTTACTCGTATCTCGTATAATTTCTTCCCAACGGAAACCGGACCCGGCTGATTAATGAGACTCGTCGTCTTCGATTAGGAAGGCGTGCCTTTTGATTCCAAGTGAAAAATATAGGTTTGCGCATCCTCTCGTAGACATAGAATTGAGTTGCTTCGATCTTCTCGTCCCCTTCTCCATTCTCCTCCAACCCCTTCCATCTTTCGACTTTCCAGCCTGCTTCGCCCTCTTCCGAATTAACCATCGTAATCTAATCAGCAGGATCAGAGGAAGCTTCTCCTCGTCGTCCCCCGCAATATCCATCTTGCTCTCTCTCTCTCTCTCTCTCTTCATCGTCTTTTGCCTCTGGTGTTCTCGTTTCTGTCTGTCTCTCTCCTCTCCTCCCCACCCTCCCGCCTTCTCTCTCTTCTGCGACGCAAACCGAGTACGAGCAAGGAAGTTACAGCTTCCTCAAAGTTTTCAAGGCTGTTCCTTCGTGTCCCGCGCGTGCCTCGTACAATCCCCTCGATCTGTCTTGTCGCGTTTCTGGTCTCCCGTCCTACGACGTTGCTTACAAATATTTGTCCTCGCATGAATCAGCAATCTGCAGAATTTGGCTTAGCGCGCTGTAGGTCTGCGATTGGCTTTGAAGCGCCCCGAGACTAGCTAGAATTTTATTTAAAATTGATTCCTCCCCGCTTAAATTTAAGGATTTCCTAAAATTAAGGAGTCCTTTCCAACATCTCGAACAAAGGGAGAAGAAGCGACAAAATTTGCCGCGCGGTAATAACTCAACATTGTCGAGCCATAATTTATCATCAAGTGAAACGAAACGACAAGAAAATTTCACGACGCGTCCTCGTTGAGGGAAACAAAATAATTTCCTCGTTTCCTCCTGGCACTTCCGCGATCCTTATCGCGCGTCTCGAGTCGATTAATTTTGGACGTAGATAAGGAGCCGACGTTATTTATTGGCGTATCTGACGGTATACGGTGCAAAAAAGAACGAAAGAGAAATTGATCGGCGCCGCGCCGTCCCGCGGCGTATATTTTTATCGATTAATTTCGACACGTAATGCTGCGCTGCTTTTATCGTCCGGCAAGGAAACGCTCTCCGTCTCGCGGTAACACATTTTGACAAATTTACTTTCGACCGAGGCGCTCTCGCGATCTCGCGATCTCGCGATATCGGAGCCGTCCGGACACTCGGACAGCGCGGTCCGCCGGCGTGCGCGCGCGGCTTGACCTCTCTCGCGCACCTTCGAGAGATACCTGGCCAGAATAATCGATCGGCGACGGGGTCACGTGCCAATGATAGGGCGATTCGGTTCGCTCAGTCTTTTCCGCAGGGGAGATACGCTATATCCTCCGGAAAGCGCGATATGCCTCCCCGTCGGATAACTTCGATACGAGACGACGATACCTCGATATTTCGGGGATGGGACAATTCGACCCTCGACGCGATTCGCGCGATCCGGGCAGGACGATATAGTTTATTAGGATCGAGCGATCGGAGGATATCGCGTTTGCCCCCAATCCGGCCAAGTGGCTGTAAACTCGAGGAAAATAATAGCCCGCGAGCTATGGTGGATCTAGACTCGAGCCTCGAAGCCTCGAAGAAATATAGACGAGGCTTGCTCCTTCGTCTCCTCTCTCTATCCTATATCCGGAGATTGCAACCGGAAGGAGAAGGGGTAGTTGCTGGACAAATTTTACTATCCCATCAAAGACGACATACCTAAGTTCGCCTTGTACACATGTACGTCGAAATAGTTTGAAAACATTTTCTCAATACTCTTTACACATCTATCGAAAGTATTTTGGTGGGGGGGGGGACGTATGACGATTTTGCGAACTGTGTCACCTTTACAGCGCGATTTTGCAATGCGCGCATTTAAAGTTGAAATCGTTGATCGTCGCGGCCGACACGATTTCCCGGGGTATAGATATCGAGATGAGATCACGTTACGCGAGATCTCGCATTGTCGTTGAGATACGCGTTGGGTAATAATAACAAAATGATCCCTTTGGCAATAATCATAGACCATAAACCAATCTGTGTGCGAGCTCTCGGCTCTTCAGTCACTTCGAACACGACAGACGGGTTTGAAAGCCCGAATCGTTCGAAGCGACTCTTCTCTGTGTGATGCGCATCGATTCGGTCGCGCGATTAGCTGCGAATTAACGCGACCTCTCGCATTTGCCGCGAGCGCCATGATTGATGTGCACAATTTCCGTTTTCAGTCGAGCGACGGCGGCGCTTCAACATCAACGACAGGATCAAGGAGCTCGGCACCCTTCTGCCCAAGACCAATGACCCGTGAGTACGAATTTCTCTTCTTCTGCTTCTACTTCCACTTCTCTACCTACCACGTCCCACGTTGCTCGCTCTTCTCTCTCTCTCTCTCTCTCTCTCTCTCTCTCTCTCTCTCTCTCTCTCTCTCTCTCTCTCTCTCTCCCCCCCCCTCTCTCTCTCCCTTGTCCGTTCTTCCGTCTCCCTTGTCTGTTCGTCGGTCTCCGACTCTCAGCTGCCCCTTTTGCACCTCGTCTCGCTTGCCTCCCGCGCGCGCTTCTCTCTCTCCTCGTAGTCCTCTTATTCTCTACCTTTCGCTTTGCACATTCCCCATGGACCATTATTTCCTGTTCGTGACCCTTTACGGCGAGTTAGTCCAGGTCAGGTGCTCAAGACGAGAGGCTTTCACCGGAAGTCCATTCTTCGCCTCTGCCCCCTCTCTCTTCCATTCCCTTTTTCTCATCCCGGCCCTCCTGCCTCTCCTACTTCCCTTCCTCTCTCTCTCTCGTTGGCTCTCCACGGCGTTGCTCTCGTTCTTCCTTCCTATCTTAGCTTTGTTTCCTGTCCTTCCTGCTCTCAAAGCGCGCAACGCTTCCTCGCAAAGCGGGACGTTCCTCGAGTTGGCGAATGAAGGCAAATGCGAGGGGAAAATGACGACAGGAACCGGAAATACGGGCAGAAAGAGAGAGAGAGAGAGAGAGAGTTTATTCCGTGCGTTATCGTCTGTCCTTTAGGCAGTACAAGCGTGTCCTTGATCAATTAATTTGTGAAACTTGCTCCTCGCAATATTATATTATATTCTGTTACAGATCAGAAAAGTTTCTTTTCGCGTATATTTGATTTTGGAGAAGAATATTCGAAAAAAAAACATTACTTTTACATACATTTATTTAAAACTTAATTTCGAAACATAATTATCCGTTAATCAAATTATAGACTTCAATTGTAGTCGAAAATAATGTAAATCACGCTTCCTATGTTTTAACTTTAACGCCACTTTACGTTATTCGCGATATTTAAATATTTCTCGCGATGTCAGCTCGATAACGAGAGACACGACAACAAGACTTGATGTATCATTATTCAACATACCTAATTGTCTGCAAACCAGGCGTGTTTCATCAACCTCATAAAAGGCTTTATTACGAGTCAGTTAGGTGCAGAAGGGTGGAAAATTTTCCAAATCCAGCCACGACATTAGCGACATATTGCTTCCTACTTTTGCTGCCATATTAGCTATCGTATACGTTTTAACGAGCAATTACTTTTTATTCTCAACATTTATCTGATTTATCTTGTTTGTAGTTGAATTAATATTGAAAAATTCCGGACTCTGGGAATACGTTCTCCAATGTCCCCGAGATAAATTGCTCTCTCGTAAGAAAGTTATCTCAGTTGAGGAAAATGTATGCAAATGATTGTGAGTAAACGTTCTTCGATTATGCAACCGCCGCCAATCACGGGGGTAGAAATACGTTTCCTCTTGGCTATTTTTCCGCGAAAGATATTCCGCGTCGACGGCGACAGCTTCATGTCTGACCTATTTCGGACGCGATCCCTGACACGAATCTTCAACCCGGAGACTCCTTCGACACACGATGGACGTGCTAACGAGCGAGCCTTTTGCATATAATGGCCAGCTGAATCCGTCGTTCATTTATCAATCCGACGATCGACCCATTTGTCTGTGTCAACATCCGGAGAACTAAAAAAAGAAAGAAACTACCTCTTTCGGGCTCGACGCTCTCCTTTTTCCGGCGAGCTCCTTTGAATATCGATTCTCGAAAAAGCACGGAAAAATCCGAACGAATTAAGGTCGATTAGAGCTATCAGTAGAGCGACCAATATGTCCGTTCTCGGCAGTGACGTAAGCAGTGACATCCGGGGGGCGATGAATAAATACCTTTTTTTTCCGGGCAAATAATATCGAAAGAAGAAACTTGTATTCTCTCTGAATGATATTTTTCCCCACACATTTGTCCTGTAATATAACACTCTTGGAATGATCGAAATATCGAGCAGCAAGCAACGTGTCGAGACGAGATCGGCGACGAGGTGACTCTCGACGCGCTTTCGTCGCGGAATAATTTGGAAAATTGCTCGATTCTTCGTACCGAACGGACGATGCGGGCACCTAAGTGTTCCGTTCGTAATTATTGATTTACGGCCTCGTAATTTATGTTATCTCCGTCTGATGAAGGAGAAGAAGCGTGCAGCTCGCTGGCACGTTCTTTATCTGCCGCCGTACCCCGTTATTTTTCGACACGTCACTTCTTAATAGACGCGATAACGAGAGCCACGCATGGGATTAATGTCCCACGACGAATTTCTCGCCGGCGCTCGGAGCACAACGGCGATGAAAGTTGAGTTAATGCGGCTTCGCCACGATCGTGTTTGCCGACGGCGATAATTTATATTCGCTGGCTGCGTCCTCGCCGGGATCGCACTTAACGCGCATTTTAAATTCGCCGATTGGCATTCCGTTGTTGCAATTGCGCGCGTGCGTTCGGCCGCATTGTCCACGTTGTTTGCATATCCCGTGTAGCGCGCGACTAGTGAGTCGCCTGCCGCATACACACATACACACACACACACACACACACATGTCCTCCATTCGTGCGGCGCCTCTTATCTAATGACGCTCGTACCATCGATAAGACAATGGTGCACTCGTTGCAAATGCGTGACGGTGCAACGCGCCTGTGCTCTCGTCCTATCGCGAGTGATAAAAGGAATCGAGTTGTCAACCGCGCCGAGTCAACTCAGCCGCGCATTGCACAATTCTTTCCGCGGAGGTGGATTTTAACTCATGCTCTTGTCTGAGGGCCAGGGATATTTGATATGAATCAGACACAGTTTAAGGCATAACTCGCGTCAAGATAATCCGAGTTAATATTTTTTCAAGACTTTTGTTCTTCTTGTGCGTTTGCTCGATCGCAAACAACGCGAGTGGACTCGAAAGAATTTCTCTTTAATGGAATTTCTCTTTAATTTTGACGATACAAACGATCTGTACTATTTGCGATAGAGATTTTATATATATATATATATATATATAATTTCTTTTCTTTTACAATTGTCGTTTCGAGCGGTAATCGATTAATTTCAATTCCGAAATTTACCTTTTGGAAAAATGTATGTATCCATTGCTAAGTCATATTGAAAGTCATTAGATTCCTTGCAACCTGCGCAGGAAAAAAGTAGCTGCATTCGCGCAAGATGGCGCAAAGACCTCGTCTTGATTTTTCTGCCAAAATCGCGGATAGATGGAAATTGCTCGCGTCGCTCGCGATTACACGCGATAAGGGAAGGCTGGGTACCGCGACGATGTCGCGCGTTTTAGAAACTCTCTCTCTCTCTCTCTCTCGGGAGCGTCTCTCGGGCGCTCTTCCTCGGGAGAACTTCGTTCTCCTTTCGGGTTTCAGTTTCGGCTTTGCCGGGGAGAGGATATCAAGGGGGACGCGAGCAAACTCGGCGCGATAGCGCGCCAGTGATAACGAAGTACAGCCCGTTCTAAAGACACCGGCAAACACGACACAGATTTCCCTCCCGTCTTGCCTCGGTCGTCGTCTCTCGGTGTCTCCGTTTATCCCGCTCGAGTTTCGAAGCTGTCCTCCTTCCTACGCGACGTCCCGAATCTCTCTCTCTCTCTCTCTCTCTCTCTCTCTTTCTCCTTCTCTCCCTCCGTCATCCGCGTTCTCCTTACGTCGCTGCTCATTAGCGCGAGCGAAGGAGAAACCCGCCGATTCCGGCGGTGCACGACTGTTTATTGTTTGCCGTGCAAACTCGTTCCCGACGCGCCGTACAAGTACGAAAACCGCGCGACTCCCGAACGGTAGAGAGGCCTGCTGCAAACTCGTTGTCGCGACGGCGTTGTTCCGCCGCCGATGAAGCGCGGAACGCTCGACAATTTCTCTCTTTCTCTCTCTCTCTCTCTCTCTCTCTCTTCAAGCGCATCTTTTCGTTCATTATGATAAAACGGTAATTTATTTCAGCAGGTCGAGCATCGCGCGCGGCGCGGCGCGAAAGCGCGTTTGCTCACTTGCGACGCGACATTCGTCCATTTCACGACCGGATTGTTTGGGAAACGCCTCGCCTTTATTCCTTTTAAAGGTAATTCTTTCACTCGTAATGATGTACAACGGATTTTCTTTGTTTATGTGGACACAGAAGGACATAAGAAATTATCGTTATCAGACGTATGCGCGACGTTGGTTTCGAGAGAGATGGATGCGTCACACACGTGCGGCGCCGCACCGCGCCGGTGGCAGAGACATTGCAGAGTTCTTGTAGATTTTTTTACGTGCGAATGTGCGTGGACATGTAGCAAATCTTATCTCTTGAAAGATTCCAATGATAGAGCTTTGTAAAAATATGTAACGCTGATAATTATTGCGGCAACAAATTCTTTCAGCCGACGACTTCTCTTCTCAACGTATATCCCGTGCTGAATATGCGTCCAAAGTCGTTCTTGTGGGAAGAATAGCACAAGAGAACAATATCAGCAATCGCGTTGTACGTTCAGACCAAGAGTTGCGCGTGTTAAAATTTCTCCCTTGGAAAGTAATATGATAATTATACGGATCCAGTTGTGTGTGTGTGTGCGCAGCAAAAGTTGGCGAAACGCGCTCGGTCGGTCGCTCGTTGAAAGATGCAACGAGTCGGAATATTAATCCACGAGAGTTAACTTGGCAACGCGCGCGAGTGTTGTCGATGGCGGTAGCCACCTTTAGCCAACCTCGTTACGAAAAGCCGTAAACCCACGCTCTATGAACAATTCAGCGGCTAAAAACACACGCATCTTCTCTTACGCGACATGGAAAATTAATAAAATGCAGAATTTGGAGCATTCGCGGGAACGCAGTGCGCGCGGGTGCGCTAGTTAAAGCGCGCCGGTCGTCGCGAACTTGTTGCAGCATAACGGAACACGATTTCTCGCTTGTGGAAAAGTGCTTTGTGCAGTACTGCGCGCGCGTGCGACCTTTTTGCCTTCCGGATTTTGCAAAATCTCGCGAATTTCCCCCCCCCCTCCTCCTCCCGCAACGCGCGCATTCGCCATTCCCGATCGTGTCGTGAATTTAATTACTTTCGCCGAGACCGTAATTATTACAGCTACGTCACCGGCGCTATTTTCACGCCTCTGCGAGAACGCACACCATCTCTCGCTGCCGAGCGTATAAAATAATAATTATCGATAAAGACTTTATTTCTTTGCGCGTGGCGACGGGAACATTTTTATCGCGATGAACTTTCGAATTTTACATCGGACTGTATGTTATCGTTTTTGAATGTTCTTTTTTTTCTTTCTCTTTTTTATTGTTTGTTCGACGGTGATTAAGGCTACAATTTTGCGCGAATTCATGTCGTTGCATTGCCTCAGAATTTCGGCAGAACACGCTTTGCGACCGCACATGCAACATCAGGTGAATCTAAGAATGCGACGGCGTCGTGGAATGAGGTGGAGGATTATGTTTTCTCAGGCAGGAGTGCAAGGAGGAGATGAGGGAGAGAGAGAGAGGGCTATATTCGCGCAGAGTCCACGAAGAATGAATGCTTCGCCCCGGACATGACGAATGCCGTCTCATAATAGGCTTTCCATTCGCCGCTTTTCTCGTGGACGGTACTTCGCGATTTTTCGGGCGATAAATCGACGGAACGATTCCATCGTAAATCAACGGCCGCGCCCGCGCCCGCTCACGCGAAAGAAGAAGAGAGATAGAAGCAGCGACGCTTCGCTGCGCGGCGCGAAAAAAAAGCGTGAATAACGACGAAAATCCGTGAGTGTTGTGCGCGAGTTCCGCGTGGGAAATATTTAAATCGCAGCAGCGAACGGCCATCTCCGAGGAGGAGGAGCGTCCATTATGGCGGAATCTCTCGCAATGCTCTCGCGCACGAGTCGCGCTGAAGAAGTCGCGTCCGTTTTCGAGATATCTCTTATTGTGAAAAAGCGCGGAACGGTGAAAAGTGCATCGTCGTCGACACGGCGTGATAACACAACAAACAAACGATCGCGCGGCGTATCGAAATATCTGTATCGGTATCTGCGACAGAGAGAGAGAGAGAGAGAGAGAGAGAGAGAGAGAGAGAGAGAGAGAGAGAGAGAGAGAGAGAGCAATATCTAGCCAGGCAACGTGTTGTTTAATTACAAATACTCACGCCTATCGCGCGAATTACAATACCCGACGGATAATGTATCCGTATCTTATCGTGGATATATCTTATTGTTGGCTTGCGCGACTCGCATTAGTCATTCGGGATACGGCCGTCTTTTTGTTTTGCCGAAAGAACGTTACGTGCACGTTTATGCGACTTAACACACACCTCCGCTTCTTTTTCGGGATGCGACTCTGATGTCGTGCGACTCGCGTCGCACGGTGGTAAATGGAATTCTCGTACTTATCGTGAAAACGGGCGGGCAGATACGCGATAAGTCACTTGGCAGCCTCTGCGCATTCTCGACTGCGCTGCCTACGGTAAATCGCGCGGGAGGTATCTGGAAAAAAAGAAATTGTACTTTCTCCGGCAATCTCGCGCCTCCTTCGTTCTCTGGCATTCTCATTCACCAGTAGCTCGTTCCTCATACATTCCTCATGCTGGCACGGCGAAATTGTCCGCGCGCTCGGATCATCGCGGATGTCTCTCTCTCTCTCTCTCTCTCTCTCTCTCTCTCTCTCTCTCTCTCTCTCGCGAGGAAGCGCACAAGTCTCGGCTAGGAGTTGAAGGCGCCGCTTCTCGCGTTGCCGCGTCGAGAGCGCCGGGTTCTCATGAATTTTTCGACGGTGTCGTCGTGAAAAATCCTCGGGACTAACAACAAATCGCCCGTGTCTGCGAGTTGTACGAGGGCAACTCCGCGAGAGGACGGCCAAGAGGAAGCGCCGTCGTCGTCGTCGCGATCGCGTGCGCGAGCGCGAGCTTTATGGAAATTCTTTGGGATTTCGTTGCCTACGTCCCGTCGAATTATCGCGGCCTGACGTGCGCCTGATATTCCACGCGAATTCCCGCGCGGAATTCCATCTCGAGACGGCTCTCAAAACGTCGGCGTCGACGACGGTAGCGACGGCGACGGCGACGGCGACGGCGACGGCGACGGCGACGGCGTCGGCGACGGCGACGGCGACGGCAACGGCGGTGATGGTAGCGGTGGCGGTGGCGGAGGTATGACTCGGGAGACGGTAATATCGGTCGTATTACGGTCGGGTGAGGAACTTTGGGAATCTCCCGCGAAACACCCCGTCTCAAACACGTTTCCGACGAAATAATCGCGCGCCTAGGGTTTCAAAGAGGAACCTGGCCCTTTCCCGGCACCCCCGGTCGTCATCGTCTTTTTATGTCTCTTTGAGAGGATATGGGCAAATTGAAAATACGAGCGTGGGGCTCGCGAACTTACCCTCCTGCCTCGTTGCTTCTCATGCATCGAGTATACCGCGGAATTGCGCAATTACGCTGTTAATTTTTTAGCGCGGCTGATAATAGTAGAGGGCTTGACGTGGGGAAGCAAGCTTGCGAGCATGCAAGCGGTTGGCGAGGAAAGAGCCGCTTTGTTATGTAACATTTATATTTCTTCCTTTTATATTTATCATACGCATTTGGAATTTCCTCCAAATGTTGCGCGACAATCTCTGTTGCGTTGCGTTAATCTTCTTTTCTTCAATTCTTCATGTTTTGACTCGGTCGCACTGTGCGCGGAAAAGTTCTCCTGCAGATCCCGAGGATTCGTTTAGACGATATGTAATGAGAAAAATATGTCTTTCTTAAAATTATAAATTTGTGCATCTGCACTTTTGTATATCTCCAGTGTAATACAACAGTTACAGAGACACCGATCGTCACATGGACTGAGAAATGCGAGAGGCGAATGTAATTTTGTTTCTCTCCGCCGTCATGTTGCAGATACTACGAGATTGTTAGGGACGTCAGGCCGAACAAGGGTACGATCCTCAAGTCGTCGGTGGAGTACATAAAGTTGCTGAAGAACGAGCTCACGAGGATGAAGCAGAACGAGCTCAGGCACAAGCAACTGGAGCACCAAAATCGACGGCTGCTCTTGCGCGTGCAGGAGCTCGAGTTGCAGGCGAAGGCGCACGGACTTCCGGTCTCGGACTTCAATTGGGCCTCGACTTCCGTCACCATGCTCAACAGCTTCCCGAGGAGTAAACTCGAACAGCGGAAGGTACACGTGAGTCAAGAATCATTTTCTTAATACTTTTCTTAATTAATTAATAATTTCGCCTCGACACTCGTATCCATCGTGCAAGCTTCTCACGTGCGTGCGTTTGGCTCTCATATCCATATCATAATTTCCCTCTTTACGCTCGCTCGTCTCACCCATTTCCACGTTTCCGGCGATAAAGATACGCTTTACGCTCGCGTTAATTGCTCGCAAAGTGGCTCGACAGAGGGAGAGGAAGATAGATAGATAGATAGATAGATAGATAGAGAGAGAGAGAGAGAGAGAGAGAGAGAGAGAGAGAGAGAGAGAGAGAGAGAGAGAGAGAGAGAGAGAGAGAGAGAGAGCGAGTACATTTTTACTCGACGACATTTACTCACGTTTGCGCTTGATACACGAACGATAGCGTCAATTTCGGTCGATGGTATTAGTGGGGAGGCTCAGTGTCGTAACGGCGAGACAGTTAATCATAATGCGACAGCCGCGCGCGGTGGCGGCGGCAGCGGCTGTCGGTTTTCGAGGCTATAGAGAGACCGGCATCGATATAACGATCGATTCGTGATCCTTGATCCGAATAAACCTTCTGCTCGTTCCCCGGACTAGTTTCATAATGTGCATCTGTTCCGACTGTGGCGAATAGCTGTTTGCTTATTCGTTCAATCTCTCGCTCTCTCTCTCTGTCTCTCTCTTGCGCGTGCGCATACGAGAGAGAAAATGTCCCCATTTATATCGATATACTCTCCTCGCATACGAGAGCATCAAAGCCGTCTTTTGACATTGTCGGTGTAGCGCAATGGTTCTCTGTTACGCAACGGAAGACCGACCACGCCGCGCTTGCATAATGAAAAATGGCTCTTTTTATTTTTCTTTTATTTACATACAATTAACGCGTCAGTTCTTCGCAACGCCTCGAGCGAATTTCGAGATGACGACTTTTTGCGGGCGCGATCTCGTTCGATCTCACGATGCAAAGTCAGGTAACGAGAAGCGATCGGCGGCAACGGTATTGCCGATGTACGCGAGGCCTCGTAGACACCTTCCGAAACTTTTGACAGCGCTCGAACGAGCGGTAGCGATACAGGTTGCGTGAAAAATTCACGGAGCGAAACTGAAATAAAGAATACCTAATTCTACAAATGATTTTATTCTTCAATATAGTCTCCATTAACTTCAATACACTTGGCCCAATGGCTCTCCAATAATTTTATTCCATCGCGGAAGTGTGTTACTGGAAGGTCTGCGAAATATGCCTCTAGGACTGCTATAGCTTCTTCATTCGACAAAAAATACTTTCCACGGAGGAACTGTTTCAGGTTTCGGAACAGATAGAAGTCGCTGTGTGCCAAATCTGGCGAATACGGTGGATGATCAAGCAATTTGTACCTCAATTCATTGAATTTAGACATTGACAAAACACTTTTGTGAGCAGGTGCGTTGTCTTGGTGAAAAATGATTTGTTTGTGCTGCAAACCAGGTCTTTTCTCACGAATTTTTGCGTCCAATTGATCCAAAAGGTTACGATAATATTCAGAGTTAATTGTTTTACCTTTTTCCAGATAGTCAATTAACAAAATCCCTTTAACATCCCAAGAAACTGATGCCAAAACCTTTTTTGCCGATCTTTCATGCTTTGTTTGCTTTGCAGCTGAGCATCCAGCTTTAGTGCACTGTAAACGTTCCTGTTTCAATTTAGGATCATGGTGATAGATCCAAGTCTCATCCATAGTTATAAAACGACGCACAAAATCGGTTTTATTCTTCTTAAAACGATCCAAATGACGCTGAGAAATTTGCTTTCGAGCGAGTTTTTGTTGAATTGTTAACGTATGCGGCACCACTTTTCCAAACATCTTTTTCATTTGTAATTCTTTATGCAAAATATGTCGTACCCGTTCATCTGAAATGCCTATGGTATGAGCAATTTCACGCGTAGTCACACTTGGATCTTCAGAAACAATAACATGTATTTGCTCAATGATTTCTGGTGTTGACGTGCTTTTTGGACATCCACTGCGTGGATCATCTTCAATGCTTGTACGACCACGTTGAAACTCAAGTGCCCATTTACAAACCATTGTTTTTGAAGGAGCAGATTCCCCTAACACATCTCGGAATGAATTTCCATTGCCTTTAAACCTTTTTTTAACAAAGAACTCAATCACTGCACGTTGTTTCAAATTTTTCGTTGCAAACAAATGTACCGGCACGTCAACTTCAATTGGCTTGTAAACACAGAAAGAATTGACAGATGGAAATGAAACCTAACCCAGATTCATGTGAAGAGTGATTCTATATAACGGACTACAATTTATAATTCTACCATTTACTTATAGATGCCGCTCCGCGAACTTTTCACGCAACCTGTACGTGCAAACCGTACACTCTCGCGCTGGGCCGTTCAATTTTATATCGTATCTCGATTGTCATAATAATTGTAGTAACAATTATTATTACTGTTGCGATTACGATAATTGCGATTATTTGGTGGAAAGGCTTTTCTACACGATAAATTTAATAACAATGTGACAATATTACACTTATCATACGCGTTATAATTTTAGTGTAAAAGTATGAAAAATCGAGTATTGCATGTCATCATTATGGTTGTATCGCTGAATATATAGCCATTTCGACGTATAGCAGCGCCCGGCTGCCTTTCTCCGACGATTCTTTCCGTTCGCGGATTATTGTCCCGAATAATGAATTGCGGCTTATCGTCGCGGTCGTCGCATTAATCGCTCTCGCTTTGCCCCTTGTTACGATTTCGCTCCCCGACTTTGAAGATAATCGTCGGCGCTGGCCGATGTCGTCGACGTTGCTCTTTAAGGCGCCCGGCGATCAAGATATCTCGTAAGAAGATGGCGGCAAGTTACCGTTGAATTTGTGGTTCCGATAAGGTCGCGCACGTACGTACACACGAGGCTTGACGCACGGTTTCGTGATTGCGATTAAGAACTCGGTTGCGCCGCTAATGACCGCGCCGCGATCGGCCGCCTCCGTGATGACAGATCCGGGGCTCTTAAAGAGGATGTATCGGCAAGAGGAAAGTGAGAGAGAAACGGAAAGAAAGAGCGAGCGAGCGAGCGAGCGAGCGAGCGAGCGAGCGAGAGAGAGAGAGAGAGAGAGAGAGAGAGAGAGAGAGAGAGAGAGAGAGAGAAAGAGGGAGGGAGGGAGAGAGGAGGAAAGAGAGAAGAGGTGGGTTATTAATGTTATTATCACACTCGACTGTCGTGGCAATTTACATCCGTAAATGTTTCACGACGAATTCGCGAGGCGTCGCGGAAATGATATGCGGGATGTATCGCGCGCGGAAACATACATACGAGAAATAATTGTGTTCGTGCTGTGTCAGCGCTACAATTAACGCTGACGTGTAAAGCTGGATAATTATATTGAACGACATGAAGTGACGTCAGTCGCGCGGAATTCGTTTTGCGCCAAACAATTTGGTGCGACTTAGTTTCATATCGCGGCACTAAAATTTTCTTCTATAAAATTTCGCCATCGATATCGATCTCGAAGAGATCAGCGTCAGATAACGCGAAGCGGAGTCGAGGAGTATGCGCCTCCGTGCGATAATTTATAACCGTCTGAATCGTTTCTGTTTATAATTCCGCTCGCTCCGTCTCTCCGGCGGAGATGTTGAAAACCCTTTCGTCTCGCGCTTCGCGACGATCGACCGTGGGCGTTGCGATGACTGTGCGCGATTGTTGTGTGCGTATTGACGTTAATTTACGTCCGCTCTTGTCCGCGTTTTCGGAAACGCAGCGTCGCTGCGACGCTGCGAGATAACGAAAAGAGAGATGCGGCGTGACGTACCGGGGAATAAGTTGAATTATTGTCTGAGATAAAGTTCCGTCGCGAAGTGTAAGTAGTCTGACAAGCAGCTTCCTCGCGGTTAGAAATTTAAACATTGATAACGTCCCACTCCGGCGACGCGACTTGGCGACGCGAGTTCCGCCGGGGCGAAGGAAGTGTTCTCGAGACGTATTGCACGACGAATTTTACCGCGACACTTAACCGTCGGTTTGCTTAACGTTAATTTCGTTCCTCGATTTACCTTGCGCGAAATGTAAACGATCCCGCAGAACTGCGACTTGGAGATAACGATCAATTACTCTCGGAAAAAGAAAGTACGAGGGAGAGAGGGAAGGAGGGAGAGAGAGTTTTGTTTTTATAAAAAATGCACGAGGGAGTCAAGTCCCATTCAAGAGAGTGTGTCTCCAATTAACGGAATTTATTAATTGATAGATACAATTGATCGGCAAAGTTTTTGTAGAACATACTCCGTGTAATATCGCGTCTACTTCAGCGAGACACCGGTCTCCGCGAGAGAGCGGTCTTATTCGCACACCGCGAAGCGACCGAAAGTTTCCTCCTTCCTTTTTATTATTTTGCATCAGAAACGAAATTACACGAAGCCGTTACACGTTGTGAAAAAAGTAATATTTTCCGACATGTATGTCGCGACAGTGAAGCGTATGTCTCCCGGTTCGCGCGCCATACTCTCGCTGCCTCGCGCTGCAAAAGAGACACATTTATCGCGCTCGAGCAACGTTCGCTTCGAGATTGCATAATCGCATTAACACAATTGCGTGTTAAATCTGCACGCGCTGAACGTTGGTGGAAAATATTTACCTTTACCACCGACGTGGTGCGTACGTTTCTCGCGGTGCGCACTCCTCTTATCGCCGCGGCCTGCCCGCCTTATCGTACGTGCTACCTCTCCGTCGCGAGACTTATACCTTTTATCTCGCATCTCGCCGCGTATATTTTCGCGAAGAACGCGCCGCCGCCGCCGCCGCCGCCGCCGCCGCCGCCGCCGCCACTGCGCCGGTCGTCGGGACAAAGGATAATCGCTGAATGAGTTGTAACGTCAGAAACACGTTGCGCAACCGCGCGCCGCGGCATTTTTTCATGCAAATTTAACGCCCTCCGCGTCCGAGCGCAGTTATGTAAAAAGCGCATGCGATCGCTTCACGGAATATCGCGGAAGTATGAATTTGTACGACTGCGAGATATACGGCCGAGTGCAGACATCTTTATTGTTAAGGTATGCAAAAAACACGCACCTACCCCACATTTGCCGCCTTCTTTTTTGCTCATCGCGCAAGGTTCTCTCATTTTCTCTGTTAGCTTTCCGCGGTTGTCGTTTGCAAGAACTTCCGGCGGACTGCGTTCTTGTCGTTTCTTTCGCACAAAAACAGTTGGAATGCATAATTTCACGTTAATTTGGCGCGCCAAAGAACTGGACGAATTAGTTGCATCGGTGATATAACGACAGGTAAATTGAGAACGGTCGTTTGCGCCTTTGGCAACGCGATTGGAAATTAATTCCGGATCTGGTGGACCGATTCCGCCCGCCTGTGTGACTTTGCGGAGTTGCTTCAGCTAACTGTGTCTGGCAAAGGAACAGCTTCAATCAGCTTATTTTGTCAAGGTGCATAGCTCTCCGGCTGAGGAGAATGTTTAAATTCAGACTCTGTTGAATATTGCGAACGTTCCGAACTGTTTCGGATTGAAAGAGAGTATAATTTGTCTCACGCTTTGATTTTGACGCTTGTCACTTCATCGAATGCAGCATCTCACATTATCGTACATTGTGCAATTCATTTCCAAACAGACCAGTCCTTTGATAGAAAATGCTTGTCGACGAGTCCTCGTGTTTTAATTCTTTAAGGCAAAATTGACAATTTTCGACCGATCATTCGAAATCGTTCTTACTTGTTCCTCATCAAATCCGTCGCATGTATCGTATCACGCATACATCATGCAAACAGCATCGATAAACATTTCGACATCAGTCGCATGCGTGCGAGAAACTACTTCAGCATCCGTTGTCACTGATCGTTAATCGCCTATGGGCACGATCGAACATAAC